GAGCGCTGTATCTTTGAATTCTTTAATAAATCTTTGTAGGTCATCTTCATTTTCGGCTGTTATTATGGCGTCGTCGGCGTACTATATTATCCTTATTTCGCATTATATATCCTCTTCTTTTTTAACTTTCTTTATGATTTCATCCATTATCTGATTAAATATTAATGGGCTCAGCGAATCTCCTTGTCTAATGCCAGTTTTATATTTGATAGGTTGCGATAGTTTCCCTTTACATCTTATCATAGATATGTTATGTTTATATATATTCTCAATGGTTTTTACTAAATCCAGTGATATTCCCTTTTCATATAATAAATGTATCGCGTCCCGAATTCTCACTCTATCAAACGCTTTCTTCAAATCTATCAGATACATATATGCTGGTTTGTTGTATTCCAGCGACTTTTCGTTTATTTGTCTTATTACAAAAACTGCATCCGTGTATGTTCTTCCTGTCCGAAATCCTTGCTGTTCCTCTTGCAGAGATCGTTTGTTTATTTTTGTCGCTATTATTCTTGTTGTCAATTTGAGTGTTGTATTTAAATGATTTATTGCTCGATAATTATTGGGGTCTTATCTAATTTTTTGAAGAACATCACCATGATCGCTCTCCTCCATTCATCTGGTATTTTGTTCTTGGTGATTATTTTATTAATAAGAAGTTGCAGTTGTTGTACAAGATAATCACCTCCATATTTTAAGAAATCATTGGTATTTGATCTTCTCCTGGTGACTTTCTGTTTTTTAATTTGTTTATTCCTTCTTTCATATCGTTTTGGGAGATTTCTGTCTTTTCCTCAGTTATTATATTTGGCGTTTCTGGTAAAGAAACGGCATTTTCTTCATTTTGTTTTTTAAACATTACTGTCAGGAAGGCCACACATGTATCCTCTTGTATGTGTTTTATTTCAACTAGTTCTTTCATTTCACTTCTTTGTTGTCTTATGAAGCGCCATACTTGTTTCTGTTGTCCATAGAAATCCATCTCTAGTCCTTTTGTGAATCTTTCCCAGTAATCTATTTTTGTTTTTCTTGCCAATTGATGAGTTTCAGTTGTTATTATTTTATATTCTTCATATGATTCATTCGTTTTTTCTGACTTATATTTTATGAAAGCTTTCTTTTTTTGGTGACATTTTTGTTTAACCTCTAGTGTAAACCATGGTGTTTTCGTTGACCACTTTTTGTTTATTATTTTCGTTCCAAGGGCTTCTCGGGCAACATCCAGAATATTTTTCTTAGGTTTTCTCCAACTAGTCTCTACATTGCTTTCATTTTCGATATTCTCCATTTTCTGTTCTAGCCTTTTTTGATGTAATGATTTTATGGAGTCATCTCTTAAATTTTCTATTTTTATTATTTCCTCTGAATTGGTTTGTTTAAGCTTCTCTTTCCATCTTTCATTGAATCTAATTTTACCAAGTACCAAATAGTGATCGCTTCCCACATTGGGTGACGTCAAACTTCTCACATCCACTATCTGTTTATGGTGAATATTTATGTTTGTGACCACATAATCTATCATTGATCTATGTCCTCTTGTATTTTAGAACGTGTATTTCTGTTGAGTTTTATGATCAAACAATGTGTTGGTTATTCTCAGTTCATTTGATGTGCAGAATTCCACCATTCTCTTTCCGTTTTCATTGATAACTCTTTCGTTAAACTTTTGTTTTATTCCTGGTATTACTTCGTCTCCTGTTCTGGCATTGAAATCTCCCAATAATATAAGTAATTCATTTTGCTTCACTTCTCTTTCCACTAATGTTTGTAGCTCATCATAGAATTCTTCTTTATCACTGTCAGGTTTGCAGTCTTCTGGTGCATTATGTTAATAATTTTGCTGTTCGCCCTAATTTTTACTAAATCTGAGATAAGTACTGGCACTCTTTAATTTGATATTTATATTTTGTTTTGATCATTATTGCTACACCTTCCTTTGCTCTTTCTTGTTTCGGAACCCCGCTATATATTAGTAAATATTTTCCAAGCCGCGTCTGTCCTTTAGCTTTCCTCTTTGTTTCCTGTAGGGCGCAGATATCTATTTGATATTCTCTCAACTCTTTTTATTTCCTGATCTCGGTTATTTAGGCTTCTTATGTTCCACGTCGCCACTCTCATTATATTTTTCGTTTTCCAGTTCGGCGTCCTTTTTCTCGCCTTTGTCGTTACCACAATAACTGGACAATATAGATGTCCACTATTATCAAAAAAATTTATAATAAGAACATACTATCAAATATCAGATACTAAAATTTTATATGCTCTTCATTTCTGTACTTAAGAATTCCAGCTGTTTCTAATCTCACATTTTATTGTAATATTTTCACTAAGAATATTTTTAATATCTGAAAACTATGTAAATATTGTTTTATCATTATAAAGATAAGATTATTTAATATTTTTGTATCTGTCATACTTAAAGTTTAGATAATTGACTTCTTCCTAATCTAGGATGTTTCTAAATTAAATTTAAAATCGGAAGTATCAAGTGTAGTATCCACTTTTCATTTGACAATATTAGGATATTATTTTTTGCTGCTTTTTTTATTGGCAAAAGTGTATAGAATTCAGTCACATGGCAGTGTACTTACTGTAAGTACATATGTGGTTTACAGTAATGTTTATCAAATTTCCAGGGCATACTACGATACTTTTTGTTAGCCAAAAGTACCACTGAATTTAGAGAGGCTTCAAATAGCTATGACAAAAATTTTAATACAATTGAAAATTCAAATTAAATTGAAGACAGTTGAGAGTAATAGTCTTATTTAGGAAGAATTATTATGATTATAAACCGATTTTTGCAATGTAAATTATTACTTTACTTCAATTACTTAACTGAAAGATCTTTATAGATACATACTTTATTGTATATATTGATATTTGTTTTCTTATTATATTTATGAGGTATTGTATGAGGGAATAAATTTGTTTGTTTCATACAAGAAATAAAAATCTTCTAATTTCCAGTTTTTTCCAAGTTTTTTTTAGCTCTGAGCTGAGAAATTTAGTTTTTCAAATAAAAGATATTTGGAGTCCAATGACATTAAGCAATACAAACTATTTTCAGAACTTACATCTAGATATAAGATACTAATTATCCAATGTCAGAATCGATATGTTGCAACTGTAAATAGTGATCTTCAGTCTAATCCAAAATCGTTTGTACAGTTATTATGAAACTGAAAACTAGAATCTGTTAAGGAAATTTTTTTCAACGGTGTATTCAAGTGAAATTTGCTCTTTCCTCTCTTCCAGTAAAATATACTTGTACTTAATACAGGTCCTGATAATGTACCCAATATTTTAGGAGGTTCTGATAAGCAGCATACTCATTATCAAATCCTCTGTTGGAGATCTTTAATATGCCATTGTCACAAGGTGTCTTTCCTGTTATGTGGAAAAGGTTTTATTATGCCTATTTTCAAATCGGGAGGGAAAGGATATAATGAACTACAGAGGGGTTTATTTGCGATCTTCTATTGCTAAGGTTTTGATAGTTTGGTGAGTTCTCATTTAACTTGGTAATTTAGGTAGATAATTGTAAATGAGCAGCTTTGGTGTCAGAAAGGGAAGTCGACTGTTATGAATCTATGTATATATCAAAGCAAAATTGTTAAGGCCTTTGTGGATGTATGTAGGTAGATTGCCATCTGTACTGTTTTCTCTGAGGCAAGAAGATCCACCCGCTGTGGCTACGTCTATGTAAACAACTAGGAAATATAATTAAAAATATTTGTAAGCGCTAGATAAATGTATCCAATTAGTTGCGGATTATTCTTTTTTGACTCATAGCTTAGTGAGTTTTTAAAATTTTAAGTTGTCAGAATTTTGTTATTGATAAATGTATTACATGAAATTTTTATAAGTGGCGTAGGCTATTCCTGGAAATTTGAATAAACATTTTCAACAAATAGACCTTTTATTAAGTACATGACTTTACAACTACAAATTTTATAGAGGTGTTTTCAATCTAAACGGCTCACACTGTGTATCTGAATAATCATATGCAGTCATTACTGGTTCGGTGAAAACTTATATCTAATTTCTTTTAATCAGATAAAATGTCATTAATGCTAATACAATAAAAACTAGCTATTTATCATCATAAAATAGCTTAGATATGTCAGATCTTTAATACTTGGTTTCCTATTTTTTTATATACATACTTCAGTTAATAACTATTTAACAGAATCCATTTATCTAATTTACAATATTGTAAAACAACAGGTAATGCGATAATTTTTACTAGGCATATAAATAAATTTCAAATTGGAAAAATATTTACATTAAATCGAATTTAGACACGTTTTGTTGACCTTGTACAACAATTTTTTCAGTAACCCTTTGTTTTATTTTGTATATTCGTGTTTGCCGTTCTTGTTTTTAAAATTAAATATGTTTACAGGTTGACCTTGATTGACCTATCCAATTTTAGGAAATTAAATTTATTTACGTTCATTTAGACTTGATTAGAACTTAAATATGAGTAAGCAGTCAATTTTAAATATAGGACACTTTATTATATATATCCCCAACTTTGAGTTTATGTCATCGTCATGTTTGGCTCCATAACCCTTTGTAGATCCTGGCCTGCTCCAAAGCCCTTCATTCATGTTCCAACGCCGCGGTACGATTTTGTCGAATGCTACAAAATTGAACGTATTGATCGCGTATTTGCACCATTCGGCCAAATCAAATTTTATTTGATTATAAATTTATAGATCATGTATGGTATTTTATTAAAAACCATTGTTTGCGACATGTAAAATAAGATTTTCCAAGATGTAAAACAAATTTGTAAATTTTTTATTTGAAAAATAATAATTATTATAATCTGATCCTAACATGCCATTTGGGTAAAAAGTCCAATAACTTAAATAATATTTAAATAAAAGCCAACAGATCATGATATTCAATATACTTTGCTCTTCACATGTTATATTTTGAATTGTTTTAATCTCGTCATTAGATAATTTAAAATCTTATTGTTTTAGCATAATTTCAATGTCATCATGGCTGACAGAAACGTTAATGGAATTTCACCGAACCCTGAAACCCTAAAACACAATGCTATACACGAAGAAAAACTGCATCAACAATTTAATGGGGTCCATTCATCACAATCTTCAAGGAGTTCGTCACCTGGAACTCGCCTCGGATACGTCCCATCTTCTCAGCTGCCTCCGAGTAGGCCTATACCACAATCTCAGCTTCCTCCTTCCCGATCTGCGACAGGAAGTGTAACTCAACAATTCGGGGCGTTAAATCTTAACCAAAATGCTCCTAGAAATAGTCCGCAATTCGGAGCTCCAGCAACTCAACCTACTAGTTCCAGCCCATACACAGTTCCTCCCTTTAGTCAAGTCAGTAAGGAAAGTATAAATAGTCAATCATCTGCTATCTTACCTCCAACTTCTGATACTTCGAGTACAGTGACCTCGCCGCAAATGTCTACACCTCTTCAACAAGGACTATTTAGTGCTCAACATCCAAGTGGTTTTCAGAAATCTGATCCATTTCAATCCATTAAACCAGCACAAACCAATAATACTCAGCCGACTTCTAATGTAAATAATCAACTATCGCAAACTCAAATACAATTTAATCAGGGCTCTGCTAATGTCAGGCTTCAACCTAACCAAGTACCAGTGCAAAACAATATGGGCGTTTCAACTAATTCAAATATGCCTAGGATAAGCCCGATTCCACCTCAACAAAACTTTCAGCCTAGTCCTAATAGATCAGCTTTTGGTCCCGTACCACCGCCTGGATTACAGAATCCAATGGGTAGTCAAATTAGTCCAAACAGGACAGGTTTAGTTCAGGGACCACCGTTACAAACACAATACAGAGCTCCTCCTAATCAAATTCCTGGGCCACCTCCTCAAGCTGGTGTACTTCAAGCCAACCAGCAAAGGACATACCAAGCATCTCCCATTCAACAAAATAATAACCAAAGATTTAACAATGCTATTCCCACCCAAAATATCAATAATGGTCCAAACAGTAACGCAAATTTTCCTCCACAAACTGCACCTGTTAACTACCCACAAATGAATAGTGCACCACCACCTCAAGCTCCAAATGTGGCACCGAAAACAAATGTGCATTCGAACAGGTATCCTACGATGCAGTCAAACAGCTACCAGCAGCCCGCCATATCTCAATATCAGCAGCAACCTCCTTGGTCAGTATCAGTATCAACAACCTATGCAAAAACAAGTACAGCAACCAATGAATTCGTACGTAAGTCAAAATAATCAGCAAGCCCCTTACCAAGGGGTAGTAAATACTGGCTTTAATAAATTATGGGGTATGGAGCAGTTTGACCTTCTTCAAACTCCAAATATATTACAACCATCGAAAGTCGAAGCTCCTCCAATTTGTTTGGGCCAAGAGTTGTTGGATCAAGCCAATTGCAGCCCAGACGTGTTCCGTTGCACTATGACGAAAATTCCAGAAAATAATTCTCTGTTACAAAAGTCGAGATTGCCTTTAGGGGTGTTAATTCATCCATTTAGGGATCTTTCTCATTTACCTGTAATTCAGTGCAGCGTAATAGTTAGGTGTCGAGCGTGTCGCACCTATATAAATCCATTTGTCCTTTTTGTTGATAATAAACGCTGGAAGTGCAATTTGTGCTACAGAATTAACGAGTTACCAGAAGAATTTCAGTACGATCCGATGACGAAAACGTACGGGGATCCTTCTAGAAGACCTGAGATTAAATCCAGCACTTTGGAATATATTGCTCCTGCAGAATATATGTTGAGGCCACCCCAGCCTGCAGTATACCTTTATTTACTGGACGTGTCTCGATTGGCAATTGAAAGTGGTTATTTGAATATTGTATGTAGTATTTTATTGGAAGAGTTGAAGAATTTGCCTGGAGATGCAAGAACGCAAATTGGATTTATTGCTTATAATTCTGCGTTGCATTTTTATTCGTTGCCAGAAGGTAAGTTCCTTTTATTATTACCTACTGTTACCTTTTCTTTAAGAGCGTAGGCGCAAAATTTCGGGCCAATGATTTTTAAATGCAATATTTTTTTCGAATCCTGAGAAACTAACAAATCTTGTTGAAAAATTTAAACGCAGAACGAAAGATTACATTGTTACCGAGGGCCGAAAGTCCCTAAGAATAAACAAAAAGTTTTTTTGAATGATATATTTGAAATTAAAAATCACACTAAATTTTCTCTTTTTTTTTTCACCCCTGCAACTTATTAAAATAAACATTGTAGAAGTTTTCAGGGACTTTAGGCCCTCGGTAATAATGTATTCTTTCATTATGCGTTTAAATTTTTCAAAAATATTTATTAATCTTCTCAGGATTCGAAAAAAATGAATGCATTTAAAAAGCATTGTCCCGAAATTTTGCGCCTTCAATATTCATCATTTTCTTTACTCAAAGGAGTAATCTTTGTTGTAGTTATTAAATTTCATGTAATTTCTTTTAGCATTGTAATCTGTAACATGTTGGACATATTGCTTTAAATTTTTTATTAGTGAAATCATTCAGAATATATAAGAATATATACGGGGTGATCAACTTTTGTAACAAAGTATGGTATATCTTATATTATAGAAGATACAAAAATAGGAGGTAGCTATAAGCTTCACATTTTAAAATACGTTACAAATAACAGGTTCTTTCGTAACACCACCACATTAAAGATATTTTTTTTTTAACACAAAGAGTGTCACGAAAAATGCTTTATATTGCTAATGTATCTGATCTATAATAACAGAGACATGGATATAACAGGATTCTGTCACAAAAGTTGATCACCCTGTATAATTAAACATAAGCTGTATGTACATCTACAAAAACGTAAATGTCCATCCATTTTATTTTGTCTATTTGTTTTATAAGTATAGACACGGAAAAAAAAACTAATTAATGAAGTCAACTTATTGTTTACAAATGTTTAATAAAGAATTTAATACAATCTGTTTATAAACAATGTTTGCATTAACGGTGATAAAGATATAAATGTCACGCATTGATATGATTTTAGTATTGCGATGTTTTCTGAGTAATCTAGAATGATACAAAGCGTTGTCCATAACAATCACATTCATCATCAACAGCTATTCCATCCATCGTCGTATGTAAGAATCCCTTAGGCGTGTCCATTCATTTCTGTTTGTTGTTTTTTGCATCCATTCCTGACCAGCCATTTGTGATAATCGTATTAGTTTTAGTCAGTTTTGTACCATATATCAAAAATTCCATTTTGCATATTCTGATACACGATACACTTACACAGGTATGCTAGATCAAAATCCTAAACGTGTGGGCTTGACGCAGTGACGTCACGGCGAAGCAAAAATACCGCCCGAAACACATTAGATAGTTATTCGTGGCTTTTCTTAACGTTTAGATATATTAATTCGCCAGTGATTTATTTAAAATTAACGTTTGTATATAAAGAAAATAATTATAGTTATGCCTGGGTGTGCCATTTTTGGATGTGTCTTGAGAAGTCGTCTTGAAAAAATGGATGATTGCATACCGACGTCAAGGTAAAATAAATTTAAAAAATGGTAAATATCGCTTTATATATCTCTCAAAATACAAATTTGTTGAAGGAAATTAACGATATTAATGCAAGATATACTCATATAAACACAATGCTGAAAAAGATTTTTACTCCTGGTCAAATTGAAGACTTATTAAGGTCTGGACGTAGCGTCAGTACCAAAGGTTATCGATACCTAAGGTCGCGTGGATACCCTTTAAATGTCTACGCTGCGAAATTAGGCGTCAATTACTCCGACATTTTGAACGAGGAGAAAAAATTAACCAAGATGCTTTAAAATATATAGCTGAATATGTTACCTATAAATTCCAACATACTGTAAAGCAGATAGTATAAGCATTACTGGCATGCCGGATTGGATACAATTTATTTCAATAGGCGGTTTATTAAATCCTAATGACTTACTTTTTGCTGCACAAATATTGGATCATGAATTTCAGTCAATGCACGGGTCTTCATTATCACATGACATCAATTTATTTAAAACATTAACTGCTAGGACCATGGCGAAATTAGAAGAAAATAATAATACTATACCGTATGAAATAGTCTATCGTTTAAGCAGAACACGTACATATATTATATTAAGACATCTTAATACAAAAATTAGCTTCGAAAACTGCAAGGGAAAATTAAAAAAAAAAAGAAAAAAAAAATGTCAAAATTTAAGAATTGCAAGATTTGAAGAAATAAGTTGTAATAAGTTGTATTGTGCGTTTTCCATTGTAACTTCCCTATTTTTAAAAGTAAAATTTTAATATCTGTAATATTGGTTGAGTTTATAATTTATAATAATATAGATTTGTTTTCTTATTTTTTTTTATTAACAACTGATTACAAACTAAATATTTTCAAAAATTATCACATTTGCTTTAGACGAAAACCGTCTTTTCAGTTCGCGTTTAGTCATTAATTTTTTATTTATTTATTTTTATTATGTATTTAGTGGAATTATGTATATGTAGCTTTTGATCCAATTTAAATTAGCATTACATTATATTAATCAATAAAGCACTAGTAATTTAAATGCCTATTTTATCTTATTTTAGGCAAATTAAACTCATAAACCAATATATTATGTGTTATTATGTTCAAGTTGCTTCGCCGTGACGTCAAAGTGTGAGAGTAATAGACTCAATATTCATTCGCTCTCTCTGCGCGTTAGCATACCGGTGTAAGTGTATCGTGTTCTGATGGTTATCGTAAGACGCATCTTTAATTTTGTGGACAGAGACCTTCATAAAATCATAACCATTTTCAGCCTGGATTTGGCATTTTTTGAGAGGTACTGAAACTGTCGCTTACATATTACTTGACTGCCTCGTAAATCTTAGTTGATTAAAAGATACAATCGATTCTTCAGCTTTATGCATATTATCGAACCACAGACTCAACATTTTAAAACGAATATCTCCTTATTGTTTAAAAGAAAAATTAGAAATAACAACCACAACCCAACTGAAATATGTACTTATGCCTGTTGAACAGTATACATGTTATTCTTAAAATGAATAAAATTTTGTTTTTAGGTATCACCCAACCTCACGAGATGACCATTCTCGACATAGACGATATATTCCTCCCTACACCTGATAATTTATTAGTCAATTTGAAGGATAGAATGGACTTAATAGCAGACCTTTTGAGGCTCTTACCGAACAGATTTGCCAACACATTTGACACCAATTCTGCTCTTGGTGCTGCGTTGCAAGTTGCATTCAAGATGATGGGTCCAACAGGTGGTAGAGTTACTGTGTTTCAAGCATCACTGCCAAACGTCGGTCCTGGAGCGCTTATCTCGAGAGAAGATCCATCTAATAGGGCGTCAGCCGAAGTTGCACATCTAAATCCTGCTAACGATTTCTATAAACGTCTGGCGTTAGAGTGCAGCGGTCAGCAGATCGCCGTCGATCTGTTCGTGGTAAATTCTCAGTATGTAGATATAGCTACTATTTCAGGAATTAGCAGATTCAGCGGGGGTTGTATGCACCACTTCCCTTTGCTGAAACCTACGAAGCCAGTAGTTTGTGATCGTTTTGCTAGATCTTTTAGGAGGTATATTACCAGGAAAATTGGTTTTGAGGCCGTGATGAGATTGAGATGTACAAGAGGACTTTCCATTCATACCTTTCACGGTAATTTCTTCGTTAGATCGACAGATTTACTATCTTTACCTAACATTAATCCCGATGCAGGATTCGGAATGCAAGTTGCTATCGAAGAGAGTTTATCCGATGTTCAAACTGTATGTTTCCAGGCAGCATTATTATACACGTCGAGCAAAGGCGAAAGAAGAATTAGAGTTCATACGATGTGCTTGCCGGTAGCAACGACTTTACAAGACGTCATCCACTCTGCCGACCAGCAATGCATCATAGGCTTATTATCAAAAATGGCTGTTGATAGATCGATGCAATCTAGTCTTTCAGATGCCCGCGAGGCATTTATCAACGTAGCAATAGATATTCTATCGAGCTTTAAAATGAGCCTGAACATGGGTAGTCCCGTAACGGGTCTTTTAGTGCCGAATTGTATGCGAATATTGCCTTTGTATATATCAGCTCTTCTTAAACATTTAGCATTTAGAACAGGTAGTTCTACTAGGTTAGATGACAGAGTTATGAAGATGATAGAGATGAAAACGAAACCGTTGTACATGCTCATACAGGATATATATCCCGATCTGTTCCCTATCCATAATCTTGAACATCAAGAAGTGATAATGAATTCTGAAGAGGAACCAGTTTCGATGCCACCTAGATTACAACTCACCGCCAGATGTCTGGAGAATAAAGGTGCGTTTTTGATGGATACGGGCGAGCATATGATTATCCTAGTTTGTCCAAACGTGCCACAAGAATTTTTAACCGAAGCTCTCGGAGTTTCCCAATATAGCGCCATTCCGGATGATATGTATGAAATACCCGTGTTAGATAATCTTAGAAATCAAAGACTTCATCAATTTATTACATATTTAAATGAGGAAAAGCCGTACCCGGCTACGTTACAAGTGATTAGAGACAATAGTACGAATAGAGTTGTATTTTTCGAGAGATTAATAGAGGACCGAGTCGAAGATGCACTTTCTTATCACGAATTTTTGCAACATTTAAAAACTCAAGTGAAATAAGGTTAAGTGTACATTTATTATTTTTATCTTTTTATTTAAATTGTGCAAATTTATTGCTTGTGCAAAGACCACTCCGAAATTATTTCCGTATAAATGAACTATGTTACAAATTACAAAACCGTGCAATTATATATTTGTAGCCACAGAGTAGGGTGAAATTCGTCTGTCTAGCCACATGTTCCATTTCAACTTAAACTTAAAGACTATGGTAATTCCAAATACGTTAAAATGTCGATGTGGTTTTGTCCCACTAGAAGAACGAAATGTTCTGGAAAACCTTACGCGACTTTTACCAGGCGACCGGTTTATCTTCGCATCCATATATGTAAACGGTGCGTGGCATATTTCGGCCGTAAATAGAGAATTCTCGACATGCGCATCGCTAATAAAGCACAGGGCCGCAATCAGGGGTGTGTGACACAACAGTACCATATCTGCGGTAAAAAATACAAATAAATTTTTTCGCTTTTGCAATTAGTAAAGAAACTTTTTCCAGTGCATTGAAATGAAAATTCGTGAAAAAATTATTGATATAATCGTTGTTTTTTATGTATAGGGAAATAAACAAGCTTTCAAACTCACTTAAAAAATTAAAATCGGTTTATTGGGGAACAAGGGGAATTTTTTAAAGGAGCTTTAAAAGACGCATTTTTATTATAATTTAAATTCTTAATACTGTATCGTATTAACTCGTTCGGGAACTGTTTAGGGATGTTATAGTGCATAGGTCGTTTTTTAATTAAAATTTTAATACGCTAAGGCTGAAAAAGTTGCGGAACATGCAGGAAAAATATCAGAACGTAAAATAGATGTTCCAGACTCCTATTGTTCAACCTTTCTTCCTGAATATCTCGGAAAGTATTATTACACTGTTCTGTAGGCTCAGAAATTAATTGAAGCATAACGTGGCTTCTTCTTCTTATGGTGCCCTATCCAATTAGTAGATGTTGGCGACAATTCTGGCATACTCCTCTCGATCTTGTGTGGCTCTAAAGAGCGCTTGGACTGCGAAGTTTGTCCAATCCCTTATGTTTTTAAGCCATGAGTATTTCTTTTTTCCGACGTCTCGTTTTCCTTCCATCTTCCCTTCCATAATAAACTTTAAGAACTGTCCAATTGGACAGCAACGTTTGATAGAAAATTGAATCGCGAACGATTTTACTGGTATCTATTTTATCGTAGATATCATGTTTTTCGAGATATTCAGGATATAAGTTTGAAAAATAGGAACTTAGTTCTAAAATTTTTTCTGAATTTTGACAACTTTTTTTTAGGAAAAATCAAAGAGTTTCGCCATTTTCCATAAGCATATTTCCAAAAGGATATTTTTACAACTTTTTTTTGCAAATTTTTATTTGTTCACACTGGAAATTTTTTTTACTAATTGGACAGCAACTTTTTTCGGCTGAACCATATTCAAAGTCGAGTTAGTTAATTGAGAGGTCTCATTTCGAATCCTGTGGGACAAGATCTTCGTGATTGTAATTTTCAAACTGGTTTGCATTCTTGTACTGGTTTCCGACTATTGATTTTTCTGTTAAAATATATCATAGTGAAAAAGAACAGAAGTTTATGTCTATGTATTGATTGATACCGGTGTATATGGGTGGAAGACCTGTGTTTGACAGTACACAAGAATTAATCAGACTGTTGGTACTTTATTTTTGACTCAAAAATTTTGATAATTGCTCTGTTTTAAAGTTAAACATCTTCCTAGTATATCCTTGTCAAAGCAAAATACTTTTTTTGAAAACAGGACTTCGCAGAAAAAAGTTAGTATTAGATGATAATTAGTACACGAAAAGAGATAAAAGGGGCGCTATCTTTCTTGTCATTAAAATAACTCAGTTAACACTTCGACTGCCATGAGAAGCATGCCGTGATGCACGGCCAATTTGATTCTGTTGAAACGAGAATCAGCTTTTGATTCTCGCTTATATGGTATAGAAATATGTCCGACTGGAAGGACCCTCTTTTTTTCACTATGGCGGTAGTCTAGGTGTTAGTAGAAAAATGAAAACAAACCCATGCTTCTTCTTCTTGAAATGCCTATCCGTTTCGGATGTTGGCGACCATCATGGCAATCTGTATTTTGCAAACTGCTCTGAAAAGATTTGTGGTTGTGTTGAACCACGTACGTAGATTTTTCAGCCAGGAAATCCTTCGCCTTCCTGGTACTCGCTTTCCTTCTATTTTTCCTTGTAAAATTAGTTAAATTAGTTGCATCAATCCATATATTTTGCTGTTCCTCATGATGTGAACGAAGTATTCGATACCCACACTAAAACATTGATAATAATGAAGATTTTATTTATTGACAAAACATGAATCTGTTTATTCTTTTTTGGGATAATTATCACATGTAAGAAGTTAATTAATTATTGAGATGGTTCTGAAACTTTTTTTTCTGACATTTCTGTCATTTGTTATTTCTGTCATGTTTATGTATTTTACAGTGCAAAGATTTTTTTAATCACTGTTTCTGGGGTTTATAGATCGTGGTTTGAAAATATTTGTTCCTGACAGTTGGATCAAATCGATATTCTACTTTTCGGTGCGTCGGGGGAGAGTGATAACGTTGATCAAGCGCTGATGGATAGTAGTGTGATGGCCTACAAACACTTTTGGTTCTTCTAAAAATTTCTGTACTTCATAACTTTAACCAACACAAATTATTTAGTTATATTAATGCGATACACCTAATTTGTCAAGTGCGTAATGCAATAAATATTTATGTTTTATTTTGAATATGAGATTCGCATAATGATTAAAGATAACCAAACCTAAACAATTATGAGTTATCGTACTCAATTATGACGATAGCGTATCTCCGCATTGACAACAAATTGTGTTTTCATTTGATTTTTAATTATCATTAAAAATATTTTTATAATTATTAAAGATTAATTCAACGTAGACTCCAATCTGTACTCATCTATTTCTTCTTGTTTAAGTTGTTTATTTTTATTTTGACCTATAAGTGTATTTAAAACCACTTCGTTTGTTTCCAACGCAAATATACCTGGGCGTCGGAAAAGTTCTTGGCGTGAAAATCACTCTTACATCAATACATCTCGCATGTTGTTTTCCTCTCCCTGTAGTGTCTCTCAAAGTACTGCAAAATACTCATGTAACGCTGCAATGGCTTCTTGATTTGACGAAAAGCGCAAACTAGTTAGAAAGCTCTTCACTTTTGAGAATAGATTAATATCTAGGGAGTCAAATCTGGAAAAAAGGTAAATGTTCCAGTTTTTCATAGATCAGTTCAATCTTCATATTGACAAAAATTTCAGTTTATTTTTGGACATATTTTTACCTACATTTTATCGACAGATGGAAAAAGATTTTTTCATTAATTTTGTCCTGTTTTCACAATGTTTGTATATAATTTCATTAGAAATTGGGAATAGCCATTCTCCATTGAATATTTTATATTTTTTTGGAAATAAATTACGATGATTGTGATTAAAATTGGCTACATGTGTTTTGTTTTTCATATTTCGACTTGTAGTCCGGAAATCGTTTTCAAAAATTATTTTAATATAAAGGCAAATCTTGCTGCAAATTAAAGACATGTATGTATTTTATAAATACAGTTCTTTGATCTTTCTTGTTCGTTGTTAAGTTTGGATTGGACATATTTATTTTGTGTGGTATTGCTATTCTCTTCGAATAGTTTTTTTTTATTTTAGAATCTTTGTTAATGTTTATTTCATTTCTTTTATTTTCTGACACAAAATAGAAAGAATGGAGCATTTCTAGTGAGTATTTGAAACAATTTCCGCAAAAAAAATAGTTTCAAAACCATATGAAGATTCTTCAATTATGGTTTTACATTTTTTAAGATAGTCAATGAGCAAAATTGCTTTTTTTAAACACCGTCCCCATGAACTTTTCCGCTGTTGGTGACCGTCCTCAATGAATTTAGTTTTCGATGTACTTTCTTGGTCTGCTGTTTGCTTTAGAGTGTGAAGACTGCGAAGTGATGTTTCAAAATTGGCTAATAATGGCAGATGTAGCTCGAAATTAAAAGTTAACCATTTTATTGCATGTTAAAAGAGGCAAAAATGTCTATTCTCTTAGTACAGTCCAAATTATAGGAGTACATAATCTCCATCAGTTCGTTTCTTCTACTTTTTCCAGTTTTATTTAACCTAAAACGCCTTTTTTTGTAAACTTGTACAAAATTTAGAAAATTATAGTAAGTGTATATGTTGTATTTATTCCTAATTATTAAAATTTATTTATAAATAGGGGCAACACATGAATGCATTCAAAGTCTAGCTATAAAGCATCTCTCAGAACATCAATCATCATTCATCACAGTTTATGTTTGGAAAGATGTCTTATTAGTGTGTTTGCCTGTAATTGATATTAAAACTGGATATAAAAGATCGAAAGGAAATAATTCGATGGACTATTTGTTAATACTAAAGAGAAAACCTTAGTTTTTATATGTATCTACTTTCCGAGTGGTCGTTGTAAACTACATACATTGGTATTTGTGTAATAAAATAATTTTAAGGGTAATTTTATTCATCTTACTACAACGCTACTAGTCTACTATTGAAAAAAAGAGATAAGGTAGGATTGTTTTTATGTAATACTACAAGGTTATCACGTCTGACATTTGTTTATAAAAAGATCGTGTGACTATAATACAGAAGGCCGTATTTAGTGATGTGACGGCGCCGTCTTAGTTTAAATAGAATGAAATATTCCTATAATAACAGTTCATTGTAATTTTTTATATATTTATTTTTTCATTTTATTTCAATAACTCATTGAGATTTTCAAAATAATAAAAAAGCACCGAAAACTGCTGTTCTAAACGTATTTCCTTATGAAATCTCTTTTATAATCGTGGAAAAATCACAATTTTCAAATAATCGTTTTTTGATATTTTTTTTTTCATGTTTTTTCATGATGTTATTATTTACTAATTTGAGTTGTTCCACTTGAGGTCTAAAATGTTATTTGATCTTATTTTTTTTTTTTTAGTTACGGACCTGTCTGATTCTGATTTTTTTGACAAATAAAAGGAAAATAATTGTTCTTAGCACTGAAAATAATGCTACCGCAGAGGTAAACCGCAGAATTTACACGGCCAACAGATACTATTTTGGGCTCAATCTCCTCCTTAAATCCACAATTATATCGAGAAATACAAAAATAAAACTCTACAAAACAATAATACGCCCAGTGCTAACATATGGTTCAGGCAGGGACCTGGACTCTAAAGAAAAGTAATAAAAACATGTTTCGGAAGAAAAGTACTCAAGGCGGATCTTTGGAGCAGTGAATGACAATGGGGTGTGGAGAAGACAATTCGAACCTTATAGAATATACCAGGAACCAGATATCGTAAAACATACTAAGATAGGACGTCTGAGGTGGATAGGGCATGCAATGCGGATGGAACAAAATGACTCAGCTAGAAAAAAAAAACGCTTCTTGATAAACCCATTGGTCAGAAAAGAAGAGGAAGACCCAGAACAAGGTTTCTTGATAACATCGATGAAGACATGAGAAATATGAGAATATGTGTTTGGCGGAAGAAGTCAAAATGATGAAGGAAAATTGACGAATTTCACATTATTCAAATTTCCGAATAAGTCCAGAATATTATGTCAGGGGAAATAAAAGTTTGTTTCTGATATAATCTTAAGATGACCTGTGGTGAATTACAGCTTTTAGATGCCACTTAAAACGATCCTATATGCGATGCCAGGTTGGTTCATTCTATATGGACTGTTTTTGGAACCATAAACAACTATGTTGGAACAACTAACAGCCAGACGATAACATAAAGAGCAAACGGTTGATTAAGAAAACAATAAACAATTTTTTTATTATCTGATATGCCCTCTGTGACTTGCACCATACTTCCATTCTCACAATCATTCAAGGTAATAAAATCTTTACCTTCGACCAAAACCAGCCCAGTAAGATTTTCCATTAATGTTAAGGACCATCGCATTAGCCTTGACTAAGACGGGAGCTAAAAACTCTATAAATCTTTCGGCAACATTCAAACGCTCTTCGTATCCTGTGAAGGATGCACATAACGTTTTGCTCAAAACTTCATTCCAATTCATATATTAAACAAAGAAAATTGTGATCTAAACGATGATTTCTAAGCAGCTTCCGATCACTAGCTGATCTGTGAGCCTTTAATCCCGTTTTCTTTAACCAGTGAAAATCTTCGCTGAATTGATTTTTGGATTGCACTTACGTTAAGTATCGATTTTTTTAAGGCAGTCTTCATTCCTTGACCTTCGTTAATTACT